TTTTGCGGTACGCGGGCCTCTCACTACTGTGGCCTCTCCCGCTGCAGAGCACAGGCTCCGGACGCGCAGGCTCAGCGGCCGTGGCCCACGGGCCCAGCCGCTCCGCGGCACGTGGGATCCTCCCAGACCGGGGCACGAACCCGTGTCCCCCGCATCGGCAGGCGGGCTCCCAACCACTGCACCACCAGGGAAGCCCACAGCTTCTACTTTTAATATCAATTATATTAGCAATATTTAAACCCGGGTTTTCAAGAAGGAATACTCATTCTCTGTTTAAACACAACACATCCCAATAATCCAGAAATGCACTGAGTTAAAAGCACCCACTGCCCAATCCCAGATGTAGGCACTGTGGGTGCAGACCTCTCCTTCTTTCCCCTCTGAACAAAGTAGCACCATGTGACTTCATTGTTCTGTTCACTTGTTACCTCATTGTATCTTGTAATCAGTGGTTGTCTTGAAGCTATCGCAGTGGTGCCATCCATCTTGAGATAGGAATACTTTTGGGCCCTAAGGAATACTTCAAATATGTCCAACATCTGTTTGGGAGAAGGGGTGGAGGATGTAAGAGTTTAAAAATCAAATGTACACCTCCAGTGAGTACTCCACATTTGTGTAAAGAGTCACATCCTTCCCAAAAGGCTTATATTAAAAGGGGTTTCCTGATTCGAGGAAGATAAATATAATTACTGCAAGAATATTTTTGGTATTCCATACTGTTAATTCTTACAAGTTTTGTAATCAGCACAGCATTTATTTGAGTTCAGACCCAAACTCACCTGCACCCCAGAATCACATGGTAATAAACCTTTTTTAAAAAGCCGACTTCTGGGCACCAACTCTAGAGAAAGATCCCATCTCCCAAAGAGCTTTGCAGGCTGCCACTTCAGGGTCAATGGGTGGATCTGCTTTTGGAATCAGTATTTGAGACAATACCTCATTTTTTGAATAATGGTTGTGAGTCATAAAGAACCAACTTGTTTCTTGCATGAGGTTTGTATACTCACCTGTCTGGACTGAGAAAACAGCAATACTCGTTGGCCCTGCTTGTGCCATATTTTCAACAAGGACTCAACGACTATCATTTTCCCAGAACGTTTCCAGTGTCCAAACTGATCTTCCCCTAGTTCCTCATCTGGAATACCTTTAAGATTCTTGGGGCCTCCAGAAAAGAGATCAGGGTGGTTGCAGATTTTTCTTAGGGCTACAAGTCCAGAGAAAACCTATGGTACAAAAGAATTACGTGCACTCAGATTACCCCACGTAAAATACTATTCACTCCGGAAGGAAAGGAAGGAGGCTGTTTGATATGTAACAGATTAAAAAGTAATTCGTCACCAGCTTCTTAGTTTCCTCCCTAATCACAGCATATTAGGAGCTGGAAGAAATCAACCTTTACACATCTTTTCCTGATAGGGCAAGTTCTCTAAAAACAAAAAAAAATCCTTTTGGACCAAACATATCCACCAGGGTCACATTCAACTGCTGATGATTTATTTTCCCTCTAGAAAAAAAAGTATGCAGTTCACAGTAAATAAAAAACTGACACACCTTTTAAATATAAATAAGAAACATCATGCCCATCTAAAATTCAGGGAAATCTATCATGTAACTTAACAAATGCATTTATTATTTTTTAAAACATTTTTACTGGAGTATAATTGCTTTACAGTGGTGTGTTAGTTTCTGCTTTAAAACAAAGTGAATCAGCTATACATATATATATATATCCCCATATCTCTTCCCTCTTGCGTCTCCCTCCCTCCCACCGTCCCTATCCCACCCCTCTAGCTGGTCACAAAGCACCGAGCTGATCTCCCTGTGCTATGCGACTGCTTCCCACTAGCTATCTATTTTACAAACAAATGCATTTAAACATTATACTCCTAAGTACCTCACTAGAAGTTCTGTATTTTAACATGAGAGTCAGAGGTTGAAATTCCCTTTACCTTTACATTAGTTTATCAGAAAACATACCTACGTGGAAAATCCACGGATGGGAATGACGTGCGGGACTTTTCACTCAGCAGAAGGGCTTGGAGACCCAAAGTGAGAGAGCCCCCCCACCCGCCCCAACAAGAGGGAATCTTTCACAGGTTTCACCCCTGACTCAAGTCACACTCAGCAGTATAAAAACTCAAGTGGAAAAAGATAAATCATAAATTAAGCCAAAAATCAAAGAGTATGGTAGTTTTAACTAGTAAGCGTTAAACAAATAAACAATAAACGATCTGAACAAAGCAGGAACCCCATCACCACTCGCCAGAGTCATCTGTTACTTGTCTTTCTTCCTGGAGATCTCTGCTGTCCAACACAGCAGTCACGAGCCATGTGTGGCCACTGAGCACGTGAAGTGTGTAGTCCAAATTGAGATGTGTTACCAATGTAAAATACCCAATTTTGAAGACTTAGCACAAAAAAGAGTAAAATATCTCAGTAGTTTAAAAATTTTGATTACATATTAAAATATTTTAGATACATCAGGCTAAATAAAATATATTATCAAAGTTGATCTCACCTGTTTTGCTTTTTAATCTTTTTTAATGTGAATACTAGAAAAGTTAAAATCACACATGTGGCTTGCGTTCTCTATCTACTGGACAGTGCTGATCTAGACCACCTAGCTTCACAACTTGGAGACACGTGAAGATAAGTTAAGGGGAGATACAGGAGAGATGAATAAATGTGAATGATTTAAAAACCTCCTAGAGATGCCAATGACAGATGAAATAAATAGTAAGAGCTGGGTAAAAGAACGAAAATGCCTTAATCTGGAGGGAAAAACATGTAGATACTACGGAACACAGGCAGCCTTGTCACCCACACTCATCTCTATCTGGCTCCATGCAGGAGGCAGGAAAGTGTATTTCCGAGCATCCCACACTGCTCAGCTGTACCTCCAACGAGGATGGACCAAGGACTAAGGAAGTCTTACATGTCAAATAAAAATACAATTCACGCTTCAAGATACTGAAGCACAAAGAAGTTGAGTTTACATGAAGCTTTTGACTAAAGCTGATGATAAACTTACTACATGTGCTGAATGAAGAGACGTTTACCCACATATATTGCTGAATATGGCCAATAACTAAAATGTCATTACTTATACAAAAATGTATAACAGTAATCCTTCCTCTGTGCAGCCCAGCAGTCCGGGGCTGCTCCCGACATGCTACAGAGGAACAGCAATCCCTGTGGGACCCACCATTACACACCCTGTTGTCTAGTGCATTCTTCCACTAGACCATGCAGTGCTGGGTTCAAGTGTAACAGTGCTGCAGTACAGATAAAAAGGGAGCGTGCTCAAACTGTGTGTTCTCTTCTGGAAGGGCTTCAGATGAAGGGAAGGTTCACACCCAAATATTTTCAAGAGGGTAATAATAGTGAATCCTTGACTAGTACTAGTTTCCCTTCCTCCCCCACTTTCCTTGGTCCACAGTTCTTTCTCCAGCTTCTATTATTTGGCTGACCTGCATCTCTCCATTGAGAATTCTGTAAACTTCTTTGGAATCAATGAAATTTTGGTAGACTTTATGTTGCTCATCTGTAAGACGGCAAAATAATACCTAAGGGGAGAAAGAAACAGAGCTGAAAGATAAAACTTAACAAAACAAAATAACTAAAATATTAACAAAATTTACTAATCAAAAGAGCACGATGTATGTAATTTTCAGCATACCTTTTAATAAAAACAAAACAAAAAGAAGCCACCTCTCAGAGCTGAGCAAAGAAGAGCTCCCTCCTCTCAAGAGCCCCCTCCGTGTCTGCCTTCCATCCACTTTTTGGTCCCCGTGCCATTTGGTCCCCACCCCACTATCCCAGGAGCCCCTGAAGCCTGGCTTCCTGCTCATGGGGAAGTTCAGGACCAGGTGCACAGCGCTTCCTCCATCCCAGCCTCCGAGTGCTCAGACCATCTCAGCTCGCAAGCCCCTCAACCCACACTTCACTTCAGCAAACCTGACCAGGGACCTTAGCCTTGCCGGGTACACGCCCTCCCTTTCCTGGAGTTCTAAGCCATCCCCAAGTTTACCAGACTCACTTCTGACAACCCCTTACCCTGCCAGCCCAACAGCACCTACTAATCCACGCCCCCACATTCCCCTCACCCCCCGACATTCTGCCTCTCAACCCTCCTCTCCTGCTCCAAGACCACTGCCATGCCACCATTTCACGGCCTGTGTTCCTAGGCGGGTCACAAACCCACGGTATCTTCCTTCAGCTACCCCTCTGCCACCCACTGCATCTGCCCTGCAAACTTCCTAACGAAGAGGGACTCAACTGCCTGCCTTCTCCACTCCTTTCTGGTAAGTGCTGAGAGCCGCTGGGCACAGCCGCACCAGGGCGGCGTCCTAGAGAGGACCCCCTGCTCAGCACCTGCTCACAGCCAGACAGCGGGGACAACACTCCTCACTCTCCCCAAGCCACCCACCCACCACCTGTGTCTCAACCTCTACCTAAAAACATCAAAAACAAAAACACAGAAATAGAAACTGAAGCTATCAGGCCTGACTTCCTAAGTTTCACTCTGTAAAATGTATCCACTCCTTCACCTGTCACACCTAGTTGTTCTCCTTTATTCTCAGACCAGTAGGTCCCTACAAGGGATCCAGGACAACCCTTTCATCTTTGCACCAGATCTGAAAACCCACTCATCTTCCTCAGATCAGTGCTCGACACCTTAGATGCTCCAAAAACTGAGGGGGATGCTTCCCTGGTGGCACAGTGGTTAAGAATCCGCCTGCCAATGCAGGGGACATGGGTTCGATCTGTGGTCCGGAAAGATCCCACATGCCACGGAGCAACTAAGCCTGTGCACCACAACTACTGAGCCTGCGCTCTAGAGCCCGTAAGCCACAACTACTGAAGCCCGCGTGCCTAGAGCCCGTGCTCCACAACAAGGGAAGCCACCGTGATGAGAAGCCCTTGCACCGCAACTAGGAGTAGCCCCCATTCGCCGCAGCTAGAGAAAGCCCGTGCACAGCAACAAAGACCCAACGCAGCCAAAAATTAATTAATTAAATAAATATATTAAAAAAAAAACTGAGGGGGAAAACTCCCTGAAAGGATGCGCAAAATGACCACCTCCACTTCCGCGCCCTCCAGTCACTCCTGAGCCCAGCAGGCTCACCTGTCGTAGGCAGGTATATTCAGTTGTAGACTAGCCTGCCCCACAGCACCAGAGACCACACCTGTTAGCCTCACCTATTCTGTGTGTGAAAAGCAGGGTGAATGCCAAGTACACCTGTGCTTTAGGAATGTTTTGATAATTGTTGTATTTACAGACCTGTTCATTTTTATCTGGCAAAGAAAGGCTCATTTTGACATCCGACTTCATTCTCCGCAGTAGGTATGGATTTATGGTATCTCGTAGAACACATGCACACTTATAAGCAGTTTTAACCTTTAATAAGAGAAAAGGGGAAACAATTACTGTATATCTAAGGAATGCATTTGTTCTTACCTCTCAATTGATTCCAATGCTTAAAAAAATTTTTTTAAAAGAATGACCAATGGTTGTACAAAATTGTTGGAAACAGTAGGAAAATGGTTTGCAAAAATTTAAGTTCCATATACTCCAGGACGCAGTAGCTTTCATAATAATATCATCAATAAAAAAACAAAACAAAACTTCTCATTAACCAAAATGTACGAAAGAACAACTGGTAATTTTGTGCCCTGTTCCACCTCTGTTTAATTATTATTACATAGTTAAACCCTAAAGTGGAGATTTATTCAGTGCTTGACCCCCTCTAGGGAAAAAAACTGCTTTCAAACAAATCTCAGTTTATAAGCTTGTACTCTCCAATAGCCACAAAGGAACTGCTACTCCGCAAGACTGAAGATCAAACACTAACTCAGGGAAACGCTGCAGCAAGGGGAACAGCAAATAAGCAGAGATTACTGCCCACAGGAGACTCAGAGAGTAAGTTCAAGAAAAGCCCTATGATCCCAGAAATGAAAGGTCACTCCAGCCTAAAATGGAGCATATGGCTCTGTAATGGAGCACAGCCACATGAGATGGGTATTAACTGTCCAGAGAAAAACAAAGACCCACAGTGCAGGAAACCACTCTCTCTGCAATTCACTTAAAGGCAAACAAAGAATTCAATAAATTATTGATACTTTGAAAAAAATCTAAATAGGCTTAACAACCTAGTAAATACTATTTAATGGAACAAGAAAATTTCCAACCAAAGCTTAAATTTAAGAAAGTTATCAGCAAAATGAATAATTAAAAGAGCTTGAATAAACACAGAAAAATTCACGTTAAAAAATTAACATGGTTGGGCTTCCCTGGTGGCGCAGTGGTTGAGAGTCTGCCTGCCGATGCAGGGGACACGGGTTCATGCCCCGGTCCGGGAAGATCCCACATGCCGCGGAGTGGTTAGGCCCGTGAGCCATGGCCGCTGGGCCTGTGCGTCCGGAGCCTGTGCTCCGCTACGGGGGAGGCCACAGCAGTGAGAGGCCCGCGTACCACAAAAAAAAAGACAAAAAAACAAAAAAACAGTTTTACGTGGACCAGCAGACAATAACAAAGAAACTCCATTCATCAACAACTTCTGGTTACAGGTAACCCTGTAAATGTATCATTCAGACATTGATAAAAAATTACCTGAAGATGATAATCAGGTACATTTTATGGCTTCTAATGCTGAGATAAATTCCAAATTTTAACAAGACATTGCAGTCCTACCAAGGAAGCAAGTACATTATTTAAAATCTTCCTAAAAATATATACAGCGTGTTAAGGAAACTCTGCCCACATGCTCACGTCTACCTCCATTTCTCTCCTCTCGAAGAATGAGTGAAATGTTGATGGCGCTGGAAACCCAGGGCTGGGCTGGTGAGTGGCCTGGCAGCTCGCTCTCTCCTGCCCGTCTACCCTTCTGGAAAGTCCGCCACCCCCAGCCCACTTGTGCTGAACTTGCAAGGGTTGGAGATCAGAGTGGCTGGGGACGGGTCTGTTTCTCACACCCCACTCTCCCCAGAGGATGATCTTAAGCTCTAAACTGGGGTGGGGATGTGAGAGCAGGGAAGACCAAGAAACCGTATTTTAGCTTTGACGTCATGCCACATTCTCCAGTCCAACTTTCGAGCCAATTCTATATTGAATTCCCTTCTGCTTCTTGTGTCTGCCTCTCTGTGAGTAAAAACGCACAGTGGGGATCCAACTGTGTTCCTTCGTCACTCCACCTCCCCACTGCTATGGAAAATGGACACCTTGCTGAGCCCGCTCATGCTTCCTTCCGCTTCCTGAGGAGGCAGAGTGATAACTCCTCCCCAGTTCTGCCTCTCCCAGAGCCTAGTCACCTTAGGCAAGTCACCAAAACGCTCAGTCTCAATAATAACCTTGAGCATGAAATGAGGAGGCTCAACTAGGTGACTCCTCGGGCTCTTTTCAGTTCTAAAATCCCCTGCACAGGCTCAATGTACAAATCCAAGGGGCAGTCCCTGTTTTGGGTAGTTAATGTTCTTCCCCCTCACCTTCCTCAGCCTTTTAGATCCTGATCATCCCCACCCAGAAAGCCTGCCTTGACTCCCACAAGCTCTGCTATTGGCTATCTCCCCTGAGCACAGTCTTCATTACCCTATACCGTGATCATGTGTTTACCACTTTCCCCCCTGCACACTCTCCACTGGACCAGGAATGCTATTCAAGGGAAGGCTCTGATTGTCAGCCGTTTCCCATCATTTTAGCCCCAGCCTGACACACAAAATATCTGCTGACAGACTATCTTCTTGGGATTCACTATTTCATGGCAACTATGGACTTAAAACAAAAAGGAGCAAACAGGGCTTCCCTGGTGGCGCAGTGGTAGAGAGTCTGCCTGCCGATGCAGGGGACACGGGTTCGTGCCCCGGTCCGGGAAGATCCCACATGCTGCGGAGCGGCTGGGCCCGTGAGCCATGGCCGCTGAGCTTGCGCGTCTGGAGCCTGTGCTCCGCAATGGGAGAGGTCACAACGGGAGAAGCCACAACAGTAAGAGGCCCGTGTACCAAAAAAAAAAAAAAAAAAAGGAGCAAATAAAAGCAGTACCTCTGCTCCCAAGGACTTTACAGTCTAAAAACGGAAAAAAGGTAAGTGCACAAACTTCTGAAACGAGGACTTCAAGGAAGAAACAGACCATATTTGCACCGCCTCAAAGTATACCCCATAAATGACTTACTAATTATAAAGGAGAAGTGGTAGCTTCAAAGAGTTTAGAAATCTGACACACAACACCTTGCCCAGTAATCAGACCACCACCGACGAAGGGACAAACCAACAGCATGTGCCTCCAGATACGAGTAAAGCACTGAGAGGTCACTTCTGTGTACCCCTGTTCAAAAGGCATAAGCTGATTCCAATCACAAAGAATGGAAAACAAACCCAAGGTGAGGCACATTCTATGAAATAATAGGCCTGCAGTCTTCAAAAATGTCAAGTCATGAAGGCAAAAGAAAGATCAGAGAAACAGCTTCAGATTAAAGGAGACTAAACAGACACGGAAATTACTGGAACAACTGGCACAATGTGCATGACAAATAGATTAGATAACAGAATTACATCAATGTTACGTTTTCTCCTGATTTTGATGTTTATACCATGGTTATGTAAGACAACATCCCTGGGCTTCCCTGGTGGCGCAGTGGTTGAGAGTCCGCCTGCCGATGCAGGGGACGCGGGTTCGTGCCCCGTTTCGGGAGGATCCCACATGCCGCGGAGCGGCTGGGCCCGTGAGCCATGGCCGCTGAGCCTGCGCGTCCGGAGCCTGTGCTCCGCAAATGGGAGAGGCCACGACAGTGAGAGGCCCGCATAACGCAAGAAAAAAAAAAAAAGACAACATCCCTGTTCTTAGGAAATATACACTAAAGGATTTGGAGAAAAGGGGCATCGTGTCTACAATTTACTCAGATGATTCAGAAAAAAAAAGTATAAATTTGTGTGTGTGTGTGTATACACGGGGGGGGGGGGGGGGGGACACAGGGGGGGTGAGAGAGAGACAGAGACAGAGACAGAGACAGGTAGGGAAGGAGGGAGGGAAGGAAAGATAAAGCAAATATGGCAAAATGTTAGCAAAATGCTAACCATTAGGGAATCTAGGAGCTATTTTTACAATTCTTGCAACTTTCTGTTAAGTTTGAAATTATTCCAAAATAAAGAGTTAAAAAAAAAAAAAGAACAGGATACATGAAGGATAACGGGGATTCAGTGGAGGAAGAGAGCTCCCGTAAAAGTTAATTAAAAATCAAAAATCATTCAATCTCAAAATTTTAAAGGTATTAAAATGGTTTTTGACAGTCCTCTAATCTTAAAGGTCTAAAATTCTTTTTCTAGTTATGTATTTTATTTCTGGCTCAGTCATAACCTGGCTGGTACAGGCCCCCACCTGAGAGCTGTGCAGAGACCCAGCCTCTCATGGAGGCTGGAGCCTGCCCCCAAATGCCATAAACCGCCCTCCAGTTGGCCTCACCTCCTAACGTTCCTGCCTGTGACAACCCCACTCTACCAGTCACCAGGCCTGAAACCTCAGGGGTCAGCTGCAGCAAGCTCACCACTCCCTCACCAATTTCCTTTATCTTATCAACCTCCACATCTTGTTTGTTCTGCCTAGAAAACACCACTTGGGACTCTTGCTCTGGACCTGCTTTCTCAGGACCATCACCCACATCCAGGTGCAGGCTCTCATCACCCTCACCCCCAACAATTCCTACAGGTCCCCCAATGCCAGCCTCCCTCCCACAACTACCTGTAGCCTGAGTAACCGTCCAAGAACAGCCTGCTCCCAGCCTCCTGCTCAAACACCTTCAGTGGCTCTTCCCTGCTTAAGCGCTCCTGCCTCCCTTCAAGGCCCCCACTGCCAGCATCCACAGCTTTCCTGCAACTCCCCCAAAAGCATCTCCAGTCCAGTCAAGCGTGTCTCTTCACTGCTCGTGGTCACACAGAGTGGCTGTGTTCATACTGCTGCTCTAACCTAGAATGTCCCACTTTTCCCAACCTGTTCTCCCAGGATCAGGTTAAAGGGTATACGTCTTGTTAAGTCTTCCCTGGTGTCACCTTTGCTAAGCTTGTAAAGTACTTTATAAGATGCACTACCCAATTTGCACTATTACATGCTGTCCAGAAGTGACTCACTCTTATCTCATAATTTCTGACTGCTCTTGAATATTTTAAATGATTTTTTTAAAACTCATCTAGAAAATTATGCGCTATCAAGCAAAAATAATTTTGTGGTTTTTATCAGATACCAATTTATAAGCTTGGTCATTTCCCTTACATTCTGAATGACTCGGCTACAAAGTATAGTATTTAGTAGGAACGTTTTAAATATTAAAATACCAGAAGTGCCACCTGCCTGATACATTACCTGTACTGGGGAGGCATTTGCATACCCTCCCATGGTGATGGGGACTGAGAACTGCTCCATAAACACAGGCAACGTGCCCAACTTTCCCGGGAAGATGAAATCAAAGAGGGACCACAGCTCACGGAGATTATTCTGCATCGGTGAGCCAGACAGGATGATGCGATGAGGGGTGCGGAACTGTTTGGGGAAAGCAAGGACTTTTCTGTTAAATTCACCTTTTAGCAGATGATCACCAACCCTACCCCAAAACACTCCCATGCAATCTTATTATTTAACACAACTACATATTATTTTGGTCTCCTCTAAAACGCAGATATTTTATGAAACTTTAATTCTTCAATTACACATAGATTAAATATATATATATATATATATATATATATATATATATATAGACAATGGCAGTGTGGAATCTGGCTTAAGAAGATTCTAACAACTGATCCCTATAAGAGACATTAAGTAATGTGAACAACTAGAATTTTAGAAAACATGATTAAGTGCAAGAATGAATAGTGTTTTGCATTAAGGCAAAATGTGTATTTCAAATTTCTTATGCAAAAGCACAAGGAAAGGGCTTCCCTGGTGGCGCAGCGGTTGAGAGTCCGCCTGCCGATGCAGGGGACACGGGTTCGTGCCCCGGTCCGGGAAGATCCCACATGCTGCGGAGCGGCTGGGCCCGTGAGCCATGGCCGCTGAGCCTGCGCGTCCGGAGCCTGTGCTCCGCAACGGGAGAGGCCACAACAGTGAGGGGCCCACGTACCACACACACAAAAAAAAGCACAAGGAAAGATTAAATAAGTCTGTTACTAAAAGCAGTTTATTCTCAATTAAATATTATCCACCTGGAAACCCTCCATGTTATTAAAGGTCACACCTGTTTGCAAGCAAGAGTGATGGCAGCATTTGGATTCCGAATTTTGTGTCCTTCGTCCAAGATCACGTAGTGCCAGTCATGCCTGCTAATATCATCTTGCATCAGTCGAACGTAGGAGTAAGAAGTGATCAAAATCCCATGACAATGAGCAATATCTCGAATTAGTTTCTCCTAAAATGATGACAAAATGGTAAAGACAGTTTCAAATAAGAAGTTAAATGAGGATGGCTCTTAAAATCAACCTTCTAAGGACTTCCCTGGTGGTCCAGTGGTTAAGACTCCCCACTTCCAATGCAAGGAGCATGGGTTCAATCCTGGTCGGGGAACAAAAATCCCACATGCCATGCGGCGTGGCCAAAAAATATATAAATAAAATCAACATTTCATGTGGAGAAAAGGGAACCCTCCTGCACTGTTGGTGGGAATGTAAATTGATACAGCCACTATGGAGAACGGTATGCAGGTTCCTTAAAAAACTAAAAATAGAACTGCCATATGACCCAGCAATCCCACTACTGGGCATATACCCTGAGAAAACCATAATTCAAAACGAGTCATGTACCACAATGTTCATTGCAGCACTATTTACAATAGCCAAGACATGGAAGCGACCTAAGTGTCCATCGACAGATGAATGGATAAAGAAGCTGTGGCACATATATACAATGGAATATTACCCAGCCATAAAAAGAAACGAAACTGAGTTATTTGTAGTGAGGTGGATGGACCTAGAGACTGTCATACAGAGTGAAGTAAGTCAGAAAGAGAAAAACAAATACTGTATGCTAACACACATATATGGAATCTAAGGGAAAAAAAAAAAGGTCATGAAGAACCTAGGGGTAAGATGGGAATAAAGACACAGACCTACTAGAGCATGGACTTGAGGGCATGGGGAGGGGGAAGGTTAAGCTGTGACAAAGTGAGAGAGTGGCATGGACATATATACACTACCAAATGTAAAATAGATAGCTAGTGGGAAGCAGCCGCATAGCACAGGGAGATCTGCTCGGTGCTCTATGACCACCTAGAGGGGTGGGATAGGGAATGTGGGAGGGAGATGCAAGAGGGAGGAGATATGGGGATATATGTATATGTACAGCTGATTCACTCTGTCATACAGCAGAAACTAACACACTATCGTAAAGCAATTATACTCCAATAAAGATGTTAAAAAAAAAAGAAAAGAAAAGAAAGAAATAGCCATAGGTACCAGGAACAAACAGGGGATGGGCAGGGAAGAAATAGGTGAGTGAGATTAAGCGGTACAAACTTCCAGTTGCAAAATAAATGAGTCAAGGGTGAAATGTACAGTGCGGGGGAATGTAGTCAATAAATATGCAATGTCTTTGTATGGTAACATATAATAATTAGACTTATCATGAAGATCATCTTGAAACCTATAGAAATATTGAATTACTATGTTGTGTAACAGGAATTAACATAGTATTATAGGTTAATTATACTTCAAACACAAACTCAGAAAAAGAGATCATAGTTGCGGTTACCAGAGGTGGAAGATGGGAGGGAGGAGGAACTGGATGAAGGCAATCCAAAGGTACAAACTTCTAGTTATAAGCTAAGTACTAGGGATGTAATGTACAACGTGATAAATATAATTAATACTCCTGTATGTTAGGTATGAAAGTTGAGAGTAAATTCTAGAGTTTTCATCACAGGAAATTTTTTTCTATTTCTTTAATTTTGTATCTATATGAGAGGATGAACGTTCGCTAAGCTTACTGTGATAATTATTTCATGGTGTATATATCTCAAATCATTATGCTATACACCTCAAACTCTACAGTGCTGTACGTCAATTATATCTCAATAAAACTGGAAGGAAAAATAAATATAATAAAATGTTTAAAAATTTTAAAAAATCAACCTTTCAATCATGATACAATCTAAGGCACTTTATAAATATGTACACAAACATAATACATACAACAGAATTATACATTATCAGCAGTGGAAGTTTATGTTTCATTAATCTGTAAGTCGTAAACACTGACTAGTATGTCCACTACTATGGGGGAGGAGGGCTCATAAGAAGAGCAGAAAAAGGTATAACATGTAAACACTTACCCAATTTTTATTTCTCCAAAACATCCTTTGTGTCAATTCTTGTTAAACTGAAAACAACACAGTAGATGGAAAACGGTTTTTTTTAAAAACGAACGAAAATGAGAGAAAAGCCAAGGAGACAAGAAAGACAAATCCAGGAGCTCTGATGATGTATAACATGAATTCAAGAAGGACAGAGTACAAAGGATATAAAAGAAGTGATTTTAAAAATGACAGAAAAAACTTCTGAGAGCCTAGAGTCTATAGAGAAAAACACCAAAACAGCCATACACCTGGGTACACACCTATTAGATGTCTGAATCCCAAAAACAAGGGAAAACGAGAAAATGCTGCAGCTTCTAGTCAGAACAAAACAGACTGAAAAAAGATTCCCTGCAAAGGAAAAAGACTACCTGCTCTGGGTATCTTTTCTGCAACACTAAATACGTCAGAAAACGAAGGGCAAATCTTTCCATAATTCTAGGGGGAAAGCAAAGACCCTGGGATTCTGCACTGATCCAAATTAGCAGTCATGCTTGACAGAAAAATATAATAAATTCCACCTTTAGCTGGGCAAGGACAGAAAATAAACCAGCAAGCGATGGCCTATGAACAGCATGCTACCTCCAGCCGGTGCAGGGGTGCGGTCACTAAAAGAATGCAGCTCCTTTCCCTGGTGGGAGAAGAAAGGTGCTCAGGACCCCACACTCCACACAAGAGCAGGCAGCAGAGCTCCCCGCCTCATGCTCATCACAGACTGAGTGCTCACAGCAACTCTGAGAGAGGACAGAGTTCCTTACCCCCAATTTACAGAGGGGAAAACTGTGGCTTAGAGATAGTAAATAATATTATCAGGTCACAGAGCTGGTAAAGTGGTGGTAGGATTTGAAAAAGCAGCCAACTCCAAAGCTAATATTAACTAAATATTAGGCAACACTGCCTCTTACTTTACTATAAAAGAAAATATTTTTAAGGGAAGATTACATGTAATATACCTACCATTCTAAAATTATCAAAATAATAATTAAGTAAATATTAAAACATTGTTTTAAATACTAATGAAACTGTTATGAAATTATCTAAAATATAAAAAGGGATCTATTTTTGCATGATTATAATTCCAGTTTAATTTAACAAACCTAGAGTGAGAACAGGGGAAATTAATTAGAGTGTACTAAATTAGAGTGTACTAAAAGTCCCACCTTATCAATGGTAGAATGGGGCACAGGTGATGAATACTGTTCAATTCTTTATCATGACAGAAAAACACGCTGAAATGCATTCATAAAAAATTTAAGCCCAGGGCTTCCCTGGTGGCACAGCGGTTGAGAGTCCGCCTGCCGATGCAGGGGACACGGGTTCGTGCCCCGGTCCGGGAAGATCCCACATGCCGCGGAGCGGCTGGGCCCGTGAGCCATGGCTGCTGCGCCTGCGCGTCCGGAGCCTGTGCTCCACAACAGGAGAGGCCACAACAGTGAGAGGCCCGCTTACGGCAAAAAAAAAAAAAAATTAAGCCCATTCATTGATTAATAGTTGCTACTTCAGCATAAATACCAGAAAAGAAACAGACTGTAGAACTATGAAACCACTATCAGGAAAAAAACAGATATAGGAATAGAAAATTTTCTAATAGGAAATAGAAAAAGAATTAAGAAAATATAAAAAGCAGAAAATACAATAAACAGAAAATAAGACAGCTGGCTTCAGACCTAACATTTATGTCAGGGTCTCCATGTGACAGTGCTCTGTCAGCTGTGACCCTTTCCACTAGGCAAGTACGGCCAAAACCTGGCCTTGTGTTTAAGAGATGAGACCCAAACTAGACTGGTGCTGAGAGTTAAGAGTACGGGAACTATTAAAGATATCCCAAGGAAATGCAAACAAAAACAGGGCAGGATCAGAAATACAAGTATCAGACAACAAGAAGTGAACAGGAAAAGGAGGGCTTCTCTTTTTGTATTTTAAGGAGACAACACACTAGAGAGAAGAGCCAGACCTTTACCTGCCTGCCCGGAGCACTGCACCAGAACCCAAGGCACAGCCCTTAGAGCTATGCTGGCAAAGTAGCACATCCACAGCCGGCAGGGGACACAGCCACAGCTTCTCAGAGTTCGACAGTCAGAAGAGACAGAGGAAGACTAAAGGCAACTAAAAGTTTATAGTTAGGATCCAAAGGATCTGAGTCTCTCCATCAGTGGGCTCCTTTTAATAGCTCTCAGCAGAGCCTTAACCCACACAAAAGATACTCATTCCCCACACCCTACTGAGGCTGAAATCAAACCAAGCAGCCAATACAATTGGCTAAATAAAGACAGTGAGACAGTAAGATAAAAACAAAAATCAGTGAAGCTTAAGGACAAAACCTGGTAGAATTGATAGAGAAAAAAACTAAGTAACTCTTTGAAAAGACCAAAAAACAGACAGACCTCTGGAAAGTCAGCCCGAAGAACAGACTCAGATGGGCAGCATGAAAAACATTAAAGGAGTCACCACAGAGGCAGAGAACACAAAATGTTAGCCAATGCCACGTGCAATCCAATGCCAAAGAATCTGAACTTTGACAGAGAATGTGAACATTACCAAAATGGACCCAAGAAAAATGAGACAAACCAATCAGACCACTACTGAAGGACTTGAAAAGGATGTTATGCTTTTCCCACCAGAAGTCTACTAGACCCAAAGGGTTTTACGAGTGAAGTAGAAATCAATCCTGTTATTTAAACGGTTCCAAAATACAGAAAAAGATAGAAGGCTAGCAAAACCCTGTTTTCAAAACTGACAGAAGCAACATACTCACACAGTGTGTGTACTCCCCAACTAGAGATTCATTACTTTATAAATAAAATCTAGCACTATATTAAGCTAACAAGGCACAACAGAAATAGAAGAATAGCTAAATATTAGGAAAACTAATACAATAATTCATGTAATCATAGTCATACAAATTTTATAAAATTCAACATCTTAAAAAATATTATCTTAATAAACAAGGGTTAAAATATTTTTTAATTCAATAGAATATAAAAGGGTGTAACAATGGCCAAGAAAATTCTGAAAGAGGAAAAGAGAAACTTTTCTCATGTCATAATACACTCAAAACTTCA